AGTTCCACTTGAAGAAGAGCCATCAAGGGTCCGAGCCTTGGTACCCTTCGAAGATCTCTTTCTCTTCCTCCCTTGACTTTTCCCGATTGCCAAAACCAGAGTTGAGTTTGGAGTAGGAGTGTTAACAACTGACTTCCCCTTAAGACCTGATTCTGCGGTCTTGAGAAGTCCCTGAAGTTTGCTGAGTGTGACCTCTTCCTTATTAACGTGATATGTCATGCGGAATTGATCATAGCACGATGGTAAGGAGCGCAAAATTATATCTATTGTAAGCTCCTTGGGGAAGTTCACATTAAGCTTCAGCAATCGATCCACATACCTTTGCATTTTCTGCATGTGGCTCGTGATGGAATCCCCGTCCTTCATCATGGTTGTTATCATGGAGCAGATGATTTCGTACCTCTCTTATCGTGCACTTTGATGGTATCTTTCCATCAAATCTTGGTGCATTTCATTTGGGTAGAAATCATCATAGGACTTTTGGAGCTTCGCTGTCATCATGGCCATCATGATGCTTGCTACTTTCGTAGTATCCCTTTCATGTGCCTGAAAGTTAGCGATCTCCTGAGGAGTTGCAGTGGTCTCATCAATCTCCTTAAGCTCCTTGTCAAGAACATATTCTTTGTCCTCGTAGCGGGTAATCATCCTGATGTTTCTGATCCACTCATTGAAGTTGGATCCATCAAAAGTGACTTTCCCACACAAGTTCATAAGGGTAAAGGAGCCATTAGGATTAGAACCAGAAGCAGCATTGTTTGAAGACATCTGAAGGAAGAGGACAAGATTAGATTAGATATTAAGAGAGTCCTTAATAAAACACCCAAATGTAATATTAAGTCTAGGATCCAATCACAATATATTATAACTTAGAAGAGGTATGCCGTAATCCAAGCTATAACATATTTGAAAGGTAGGTGAATGACGATTCACCAATTTCCACCACAAAAACCGAAATATTAGATATTGGGCTTTATGATTGGTTCTTAGAAATTCCTAGATTCTTTGAGATTCAATGAACTTTTCAAGGCATGTTTCAATCTCGAGTGTGCCCTCCAAGTTTTGTGACTGGGATACCGAGGATCACAAAACGAGGTGTGAAGTAACCATGCAAATCACTTGGTACCCTTAAAGTTTATCACTCAATCGATGTGTCGGTAAACCACACACGCTCCACTGATACTGTAATAAACGTTAAGTCATCCTTTACCTACCTTTTTAAGTCCAAGTTAGTGTGCCGGTTAACCACACACGCTCCACCAATGACTTAGACAAAGTGTAAAGTGTAATTTCATGGATTAGCACCTTATTCATATTTTCCTAAAGTAACTAAGATTGGGAATTTAATAAAACATTTAGTTACTTTACAATATTCATCATACTTTTAATGAGAATTTATAAGTCCTTGTCCTACCCGTTCGGCTAATGACCCTCCACCAGTCAAGCGAGCGGTGGGTGAGAATGGACACCCATTAAGTTGCCATTTTATAGGCAACAACCTTATACCCACCTTATAGATCGGCTTCGTGAATGAGGCGTACTAGCAGTAAGACGACTTTGTTCTTATACATATATATAATTACTAAATTATAATAATATAAGTATAAGGGTTGAATTTTAACTTTTAAAATTCTAAGGGTTGGAACTAAAGTTTTAATGAGACTTTACTTGTTCCAAAACTCGAGGGCAAGTTTTGTAACCTTCAAAACTTTTCATTTCTTGTAACTTATGAGTTTAATAGAGTAATAAAATGAAGACTCTTCATTTTTCTAACTCTTGTGTTCTTTTTAATGGTTTTAATTCAAGTGTGACTCTTGGTTTCCATAACTTGAGGACAAGTTATGGACTCCATTAAAACACATTATGATCAAGAATTAATCTACCACATAAGTTACAAATAATTCCTATGATCATCTAAAACATCATAAGAACAAGAACATGAATATGAACACATTCATAAATCAAAATTACACTTAAAACTTTGTAATTTTGATAACTAGTTGTTGTAAATGAATTAGCAAAGACATTACACCATCTAAAACAACTTTTCAAGTACCAAAACAGTTTAGGGTAATGTTTCTAATCCATTTCCAGCAACTAAAGTTGAAAATCTGCACTCTGTCGACCCTACTCGCCGAGTGCATTAACCTACTCGACGAGTAGGTTGAAGATAGAAGTGAACTCGACGAGTCCCCCCATGGACTCGACGAGTCCAGCAGTCAGACAACAAGTTTTTTCGACTTTCTTCAACTTTTTAGCACAAATAACAAACAAACAAGCCTAGGCTCTGATACCACTATTGGGTTTTGAGCATACTAACACTTCCTAAGTGTACATGCAACCCTAATAACCTTGGATTTATGTTTGTCTAATTATCATGAAAAGTTGAATTCCAAGGCTATATTCCTATCTAGCATACATGTGGAACAATTTTTAACTTGAATGATAGATAGAATAACTTATCTTGTTGTTGCTTATGTTCCTTGAAACCTTATGAGCCTAGCACCCCAAGTGTGATGCCTCAAATGCTTCACACAACACCAAATGCTCTTGAAAGACTTTTGAGAGAATGTACACTTCTTGAAATCGGCCAAGCTCTCTTGTTTCCTTAGTGTAGCCGATTTTGGTGGAGACTATGATTCTTATATAGTGTTGACACATTAGGTGTTACACCATGTAAACCCTAATGTGTCATGACTCTTCATTTCCATGACCATGGGTTTGTAACTCCCATGGAGCATCCTATGGTGGAACCCAACTTGATAATCCATGGAGCCTCTTAGCCCACTATACAAGATATGGATGATTTACATAATCAACCCATATATTTAATTAGTTCTCTTTTGATCATAATTAATTCTAAATTAATTATTGATCAAACTAATCAAATAATATTATTAATATATTAGAACTTATAATATATTAATAATCTCCAAGTGTTATTTCTCTCATTTAGTCTATCCAATTGCATGGTGCCATGCAACCCAAATGGACCATGCCGGGTCGGGTCAAGTACATACCAGAAATAGTTATGGACTTAGACACCTTATCCAACA